TGGCACTTTGGGAGGCTGAGGTGGGAGGATCACGTGAGGTCAGGAGTTCAAGAGCAGCCTGGTCAACATGGTGAAACCCCATCTCTATTAACAATACAAAAATAGCCCTAATCGTGGACTGCTGGGTGAGCAGCAGTCCTGCGTGAACGCACACGCACAAGTTGCCCCACGGCGCCCCACACGATATCGGCCGGGACCCTGGGAGGCCGTCCACCCCGTTTTCAGCGGGTAGCTGGGGCCAGGTAAGTGACCGCACAAGGACCCGGGATCCCCAGGTTGCACTCTACGCAGCGGAAGGGCCGCTCACCCTGTTGAGAGCCGGTGGGCAGGGCACCTCCGCGCTTGGAAGAGGGTGGTCCAGCACTGCCGGTCCCACTCCTCGGCGCGGTCAGCGTCTGCCTTTGCCAAACCCGGAAAGAGCTCACCAGGTCTAGGACAGCCTGAAAGACCAAAGATGAATGTTGGGTAGGATGTGGAGAAAAGAGCCCTTGCATACTGTTGGTGGGAATGTAAATTGGTACAGCAATTATAAAAAGTATGGCGTTTTCTCAAAATATTAACAGTAGAACTACTATATGATCCAGCAGTCCCACTATTGGGCATATATCCAGAGGAAATGAAATCAGTATGTTAGAGGGACATCTGTACTTCCGTGTTTATTGCAGCACTATTCACAATAGCCAAGATATAGAATCAAACTAAGTGCCCATAAGTGGATGAGAGAGGGAGAGAGAGAGAGAGATTTCTTTATATATATAGTATATATAAAGAAAATATGTATATATACAATAGAATACTATTAAACTATAAAAATGATGAAATCTTGTCATTTGTGGCAACATGGATGAACATGGAGGACGCTATGTTAAGTGAAATAAACCAGGCACAGAAGAACAAATGCCATATGATTTCACTCATGTGGAATCTTAAAAAGCTTATTTCATAGCAGTAGAACATAGAATGGTGGTTATTAGAGGCTGGGGTAGTTGCAGGGAGAGAGTGATAGGGAGATGTTGGTCAAAAGATAGAGAATTTCGGTTAGCTAGGAGGAACACCTTTCAAGAGATTTATTGTAGGCTGGGCGCGGTGGCTCACGCCTGTAATCCCAGCACTTTGGGAGGCCGAAGTGGGTGGATCACGAGGTCAAGAGTTTGAGACCAGCCTGGCCAACATGGTGAAACCCCGTCTCTACTAAAGATACAAAAACTTAGCGAGTGTGGTGTCGCGCGCCTGTAATCCCAGCTACCCAGGAGACTGAGGCAGGAGAATTGCTTGAACCTGGGAGGTGGAGGTTGCAGTGAGCTGAGATCACACCATTGCACTCCAGCCTGGGCAACAAGACCAAAACTCCGTCTCAAAAAAAAAAAATTATATGTAATATATAATATGTATATAATATATAATATACATAATATGTATATAATGTATATTATATATAATATACATATGTATGCAGTATATTATATATAATATAGAGTATATACTATAGTATATATATTTACTCTATATATTATAGCATGGTGACTATAGTTAATGAAGAAATATAGTGAAAAATACAGGTTAATTCGAAGGTAGTGAGTTATCGCAATTGGTTGTTCAGTCAGTTGCAGATTGAATTTTTTGTTCTACTCTTTGCTTCTTACTGCTGCATTTGACTAGTCTTTAAAAAAAAAAAAAGGAAAAATAAAGAAAAATACTTAGTGGATATTCAGTGTTTCCACCACAAAAATGAAAAATGATAACTATGTAAGGTAGTTATTTGATCATTTGATCATTCCACAATGAACATATACTTGAAACATTGTTATATGTGGTAAATACATACAGTTTTCTCTGTCAGTCTGAAAATGTAGAAATTAAAAAACAGACAATGAGAAACACAAAGCTATCCATGTGGGTAATTTTAAATTTTTTAGTAGCCAAATTAACCAACTCAAGAGATAGGTGAAATTAATAATGTTTCTTAACCTAATATCTGTTATGGACTGAATTTGTGTTCCTCTCCCTCGCCAAATTCATATGTTGAAACCCTCACTCCCAATGTGATAGTTTTAGGAGGTGGATCTTTAGGGAAATGATTAGGATTAGGTGAGGTCATGAGGGTGGAGCCCTCATGAATGGAACTGGTGACCTTACAAGAGTCACGAGGGAATTTGATTCCTCTCTCTGCCCTCTGCCATGTGAAAATACGACTTCTGGGCAGTGTGCAACCCAGAAGAGGGTCCTCACCAGAACCCAACTATGCCAACACCTTGATTTTGGACTTCTGGTTTCCAGAACTATGAGAAATAACTGTGTGTTGTTTACAAACTACTCAGTCTCTGATATGTTGTTAGCAGCCCAAACTAAGACAATATCCAAAATATTATTCCAACATGCAATCAATATAAAAACAATTTTTTTTTCCATCAAATCTTTGAAATGCAGCATATATTTCTTCTATCGTTTTTCTTTTAATGGCCACCCCCTCACCTGCATATTGAGGGGACCCTTATTCTGAGGGCTATTCAGACATTACCTTCAAGCAGATTTTTAAATTGTTCCTATTGTGGTGAAATACACATAACATAAAACTTACCATCTTGACTTTTAAATGTATCACACTTGATCTTAGCCAAAAGGCCAAGAAGCAATAGACTTTTAAATGTATCAGTGGTATTAAGTACATTCATAATGTTGTGTAACCATTACCATTCATCTCCAGAACTCTTCATTATATAAACTGAAACTCTATACCCATTAAATAAGAACTCTTCACTCTCCCTTCCCTCATCCCCTGTCAACCACCATTCTGCTTTCAATGTGGTATATATTTTATCCTTACATCACATTTCAATGAGGGCCAGCAATGCTCAATAGCTGCATGTGGCTAGTGGCTACTGTGTTGGACAACATTGGTCTAGAAGATGCACAGGTTTAGGGATAATATAATTAGTTTGTCTTAAAAAGGCTTCTATTATAGTTTTGGTCAGCATCACTGGAAGGGCAGAGATCATATAATCCGGGGCTTGGAGCTGACCACACTGTGTCTGTTTTCTTGGCCACAGGTTAAGTGGAGAGCATGCTCATAAGCATATAATCCTAACTCCTCTTTCCCCACCTGGGGCATGCAGTCAGGGACCCGTTAGCAGACAATTGCCCATAACGCTAAAGGAAAGGAACCGGGGACAGAAGTATAAGAAAATTTCAGAATGTTTAGGGGGAAAAAAGGGAAACATCTACTTTTATGACCAGAAATGCTCAAAGGAAAGATGACTCAAAAGGGATGGGAAGCTCTAAAGAATAAGAATCAGACAACACAATCATGAATGACTCCAGTGAAGAAAAGTGACAAGTAGCTCATGAAATTAATATGATGACTAAAGCCTATTTGACCATTTTGGTTCTAAAATGATAAATACAGAAGGGTACTGCATTAGTCTGCTAGGGCTACTGTAACAAAATACCATAGACTGGGTGGTTTAAACAAAAATTTATTTTCTTACCGTTCTGGAGGCTGGAAATCCAATATACGGGGTCTGGCTAATTTGGTTTCTGGCGAGGGCTCTCTTCTTGGCTTGCAGACAGCAGCCTTCTTGTTGTTTCCACACTTGACCTCTTTATGCATACATTGTAGGAGAGAATGTGAGCAAGTTCTCTGTTCTTTTTTAAAAAAAATTATTTTTATATTTTGTAGTGATGCGGTCTCAATATGTTGCCCAGGCTGATCTCAAACTCCCAGACTTAAGCAATTCCCTGGTCTCAGCTTCCCAAAGTGTTGGGGTTACAGATGTGAGCTGCTGTGTCCTGCTTGCTGTCTCTTTTTGTAAGGGCACTACTTCTATCAGACCAGCACCCAACACTTATGACTTCATCTAACCTCCTGGAGGCCCCATCTCCAAATGCCTTCACATTGTGGGGGTTAGGCTTTTAATAGAAGAATTTTGTGGGGCAAAGATTTAGTCCTTAATGGACATACAGATGAATAGCATGAACCCATATGAGTATTAGGAAGCAAATTATGATCCACAAGGAACTGAGGCTTGCAAAAATTACAAAGGAAAACATAAAAGGCTTCTTCAGTTACGTTCAGTACAAGGAGAGGAAAAAAATAGATTACGTTAAAAAAAACTACTGACCTTGAAAGCCTTGGAAAGCTCTGGAAACCTGGCAACTTGGGCTGAAAATCCAGGTTTAATACGTTTGCAATAACACCACCATCTCGTCACAGGGTTCCAGGTTTCAGAGATGGAAGGCCGAGTCCTCCTGTGTTTCTGAATTAGTTGCTGTATAAAATTTATTCACTTACATTAGTCTGTTAACTGAGCAGTTAAAGTAGCATGTTTATTTTTACAAACCCCTGTCTAAGGAGCCCTTGGCTTGGTTCATTGTTTGGCATTGTCTCTACCTGGCACCTGCCAGAAACATGGCAGTCATTCTTGACCTTCCTTTTTCCCTTTCCTCCCAAATTGAATCCATCCCCCAGGCATCTCAAATCTGTCCATTTTTTTTCTCCATCTCTTCTGTCAGATGGATGCTCATTGAGTTTGATGATACTACTACTTTTATAGCTTAAATTTCTATTTTCAAGCTTATTGAAAGGAAATACAGAATTTAGGATTTTTTTTTTTTTTTTTTTGAGACGGAGTCTCGCTCTGTCGCCCAGGCTGGAGTGCAGTGGCCGGATCTCAGCTCACTGCAAGCTCCGCCTCCCTGGTTCACGCCATTCTCCTGCCTCAGCCTCCTGAGTAGCTGGGACTACAGGCGCCCGCCACCTCGCCCGGCTAGTTTTTGTATTTTTAAGTAGAGATGGGGTTTCACCGTGTTAGCCAGGATGGTCTCGATCTCCTGACCTCGTGATCCACCCATCTCGGTCTCCCAAAGGGAATTTAGGAATTTTAACCTTTACTATCTGTAATACTTCCTGCAAATGCTTTCTAAAAGCTTTCTAATTTTAAACTATTTCTAGTATGTGTCCTGTAAAACTCTATCTTTTTCATATCCATGATTGGCTTTTGCAGATCCACATCTTCATTTGAATATTGAGGAATCAAACCAAGAGTTTATGGTGAAAAGTGAAGAACTCTACGACTCCCTCATGAATTGCCACTGGCAGCCTCTGGACACAGTTCACTCCGAAATTCCGGATGAGACCCCGAAGTGAAGCGAGGTGTTCATTAAACTCTGCAATTATCATACTAATTTTGTCTTCTTTTGTTTTGGAAAAAAGTAGTTCTCCCAGGAAGGCACTGGATTCTGTATATAAAAACCAACTTCCAGGGCTTATGTGTGATTGACATGAGAGAACATTAATGTAAATAAACTTTGCCAGCACATCTGTTCCTGAAAGTGTTATATTAAGTAAGTGCCGGAAGAGCTCACGTGGTGATCATGGTAGAGCAAGCTGTGCCGTAAAACCCTTGGAAACAGGTTTAATATGAGGTGGGCTTGAGCTGAACTGATTGTGGCATTGGCTACTCTGATATGATTTGCTGCTTTTGCTAACTTCAAACTCTCATGGAGAGAAATTGTATCCAAAGACAATGCGTGGTTTCTTGCTTGTGTCTTGTCTAGAAAATGTTAGTTAGAACTGGATGTTTGATCTCCGTTTCCTGGCCCCATGAGAGAGAGAGAGATGTGGCAGTAGAGACTCAATTGAACAGAAAGATTCCTAAGCATGGAAAAAAATTTGCTTGATCCAAACAGCCTGTCAACTTTCTAAGACAGAGGAATTAGGCCCTCATGAAAGCCAGCCAATGTGTATATTGACTGTGCTCCTTATAAAATGTCTTTTTTTTTGTCCTGAAGATGATCATTGTGTCCTGTTTTATTGTTTTGCTATGGATGGATACTTTAGTGACCCCTGGGACTGATCTGACTGAGTTGACTGCTAGAAGACTGATTGCTTAGAAGCAAGTCGATTAGACTGTGGGCAAAGGCAATCTGACATCTCTTCTGCTCTGAAGGTGCTTGACAGATGCTAATCCTTGTGCTAACCAGGTTCAAAGACCTGAATCCTACATGGAGAGCCGGGAGGGCTGTAGCCACTGTAAAGGAGCTTCCTCTGCCCCATGGTTTCTCAGCCTTGGCGCTATTGCCATTTGGGACTGGATTGCCATTTGGGACTGGACACTTCTTTGCTGTGGGAGACTGTCTTACACGTTGTCCTGACCTCTACTACTAGATGCCAGTAGCACCCTGCACTGCAGTTGTGACAACAAAATGTCTCTAGACATTGTCAAATGTCCCCTGGGGGCAAAATCCCCACCACCACCACCCAGTTGAAAACCACTGGAATAGGGCAATGTTTTCAAACTCTAGGATGTATCAGAATCTCCTAGAAGACTTGCTGAAACACAGATTCTTGGGCACCATCCTGAGTTTGATTCAATAGGTCCGGGGTGGGACCTGACAATTTCCAGTTCTCTAAAAAGTTTCTGGATAACAACACTCTGAAAACCACTGGCACAGGCACATTCTCCACTAGTTCAGCTTAGTTCTACCTAGAACAGAGGGTGAAGTTCTACTTTCACACTCCCCTCCTTAATACAAGGTGTGCAAGTCCCTACATTCCTACAGGGCCCTGGCTTGATCAAGTATGCACCATCCTCCTCTAGCCATATGTTTTGGGGACCAGCACTATATTTAGCTCCAGGGAATGGCTCTTGTAGCATCTGAGCCATATGTAGTGATCCCATTCCTCTTGCCAGTGATTGATAGAGACATATGATAAAATTCTGGCTAACGAGATGTGAGGTGATGTTTTATCTCATTTTTAAAGGGAACAAAAAAGAGACAGCTACAGTCTCGTACTGAGCATTAGGTTTAGATGTGATGCTTGGTGCTTTGGCAGACATATTATGACTGTTAGGGGAACAATCTTAGGGAAGTGCTCATGCACCAGGGATGGCAATGAAGGAAGATGGAAGGAACCTGGATCCATGATAATGGCATTGAAGCTGTTGAATTAGCCAACCCTGGATTCTCTCTTATCTGGACTTATGTTTAATCCACTCTGAATTTTTGTTATTTGTAGCAAAAGTATCCTGACCTAGCATGGATAGATACAAATAGCATGTGCAAAGGGCTTGATATCCTTGAACCAAAACGAAGTCTGAGTGTCTAGAGTTGTGTGGTCTGATATGGTAGCCACTAGCCACATATGGCTATTGAAATTTTATTTAAGCAAAATTAAAACTTTGCTTTTCCTTTTGCACTAGGTATGTTTCAAGTGTTCAGTAGCCACATGTCACTAGGGGCTGCCATATTGTGTAGCGCTGGTCTTACAGGTAAGGGGAAGAGGAACCTGAGATTAGGTTAGGTGGATTTCTCAATTTTTCTTTAAACTCTTTTTCTAATTGCTCCCCCTCCATAAGATTTTAATTCCATAGATATTATATATGCTGTATCTATACCTGTTCTTTATACACCGGAAAGAGAAAGATTTACTTTATCCCCTCTCTTCCCCTCCAGAACCAATATTCACCTCCTTGGAGGTTGATATTGTCCCCTGTTACAAATATATGGCTAGTGTGGTAGTCGTAAGTAATTTTAGGCAGGGATTTTAGGTCACTGTAAATAATTCGGATTTTATTAAAATTGTATTAGGAGGCAATGAAACAATTTTAAGGATGGGATGGGCGTAGTCAGTTTTGCCTTTAGAAAGTCACTCCAAAGGCGGAGGGGCCAAGATAGCTGATTAGAAGCAGCTGCAGTACTCATGGAGCGGAATGAAAATAGGGAGTGAATTTAGCACCTTAAACTGAAATATCCAGCTTATTGCATTGGGGCTGACTAGGCAAACAACTTGACCCACGGAGAACAAAGAAAAGAAGGGTGGCGTGATGGCCCAACTGGGAACAGCATGGAGCCAAAGGAACCCCTGCCCCTAGCCAAAGTAAGTGGTGAGTGATTGTGCAGTCCCACTCAGGAAACCACAATTTCCCCATGGATCTTTGCAACCTGCAGATCAGGAGATCCTTTTATGAGCCCATGCAACCAGGGCCTTGAATCCAATACACAAAGCTATGCGGAGTCTTGGCAAAGCAGCTTCTCACACAGACCCAGGAGTTTTACATACTCTGACCCTGGGATCCCTGGCAAGGCAGGATATCCGTCTGTAAATAATCCTAGGAAGGGACTGAATCCAGGGAGCCAAGCAGCATTGTTCTGTGGGCCCCACATCCATGGCACCTCACAAGTTAAGATACGCTGGCTTGGAATTACATCCAGCCAATGGCAACAGTCTGCCAGGGATGGGACTGAGTTCCCAAGGGGAGCAGTAGCTGCCATCTCTGGTTGGGCAGACAGCTGTTCCAGCCTGTCAGCTTTGTACAATACAAATGGTCCAGACAAGGAAGAGTTCCCCCCAGTGAAGCACACCTGCTCTACCAAAAAGCAGCCAGAGTGCTTCTATAAGTGGGTCCCTGATCCCATTTCTCTTGAGTGGGTAATAAGGCCCCCCAATAGGGGTTTCCAGCCACCTTCTATGGGCATGTTTGGGCTGGCAACAGATCAGTACCCCCCTGGGATGGAACTTCTATAGGAAGGAGCAGGCTGCCATCTTTGTTGTTTTGCAGTCTTCACTGGCGATACCTCCAGGTATGGGAAAAACTGAGGCAACTAAGGGTCTGGAGTGGACCCCCAGCAAACCACAGAAACCCTATGGAAGAATCTCCTGACTAGAAAACAGCATCAACAAAAAATACCCCACAAAAACCCCATTCAAAGGTCAGCAACCTCAAAGATCAGAGGTAGAAAAACCCACAAAGATGGGAAAGAATGCAAAAACACTGAAAACTCAAAAAGCCAGAGTGCCTCATTTCCTCCAAATGACTGCAACACCTCTGCAGCAAGGGCACAGAACTGGGCTGAGACTGAGATGGCTGAATTGACAGAAGTAGGCTTCAGAAGGTGGGTAATACTGAACTTCATTGAACTAAAGGAGCATGTTGTAACTCAATGCAAAGAAGCTAAGAATCTAAACAATGTAGAAGCTGATAATTAGAATAGCCAGTTTAGAGAGGAACATAACCAACCTGGTGGAGCTGAAAAACACAACATGAGAACTCCACAATGCAATCAGAAGTATCAATAGCCAAATAGACTAAGCATAAGAAAGAACCTCAGAGCTTGAAAACTGTTTCTGAAATAAGGCAGACAAAAATAGAGAAAAAGTGAAAATGAACAAAACCTCTGAGAAATATGGGATGTAAAGAGACTGAACCGATGACTGATTGGGATACCTGAAAGAGATGGGGAGAATGGAACTAAGTTGGAAAACATAGTTCAGGACGTCATCCAGGAGAACTCGCCCAACCTAGCAGGACAGGCCAACATTCAAATTCAGAAAATCCAGAGAGCCCCAGTAAAATACTCCATGAGAAGATCAACCCCAAGACATATAATCATCAGATTCTCCAAGGTCAAAATGTAAGAAAAAATGTTAAGTGGAGCCATAGGGAAAGGCCAGGTCACCTACAAAGGGAAGTCCATCAGACTGATAGTGGACTTCTCATTGGAAACCCTACAAGCCAGAAGAGACTGGGGGCCAATATTCAACATTCTTAAAGGAAAGGATTTCCAACCCAGAATAATTTCATATCTGGCCAAACTGAGCTTCATAAGTGAAGGAAAATTAAGATCCTTTTCAGACAAGCAAATGCTGAGGGAATTCATTACCACCAGACCTGCCTTTCAAGAGCTCCTGAAGGAAGCATTAAATATGGAAAGGGAAAACCGTTACCAGCCGCTACAAAAATGTACTGGAGTACGCAAACCAGTGACTATGAAGCAACCACATAAACAAGTCTGAAAAATAACCAGCTAGCATCATGATGACAGGATCAAGTTTACACATAACAATACTAATCTTAAATGTAAATGGGCTAAATGCCCCAATTAAAAGACACAGAATAGACTGGATGCAGTGGCTCATGCCTGTAATCCCAGCACTTTGGGAGGCCAAGGCAGGCAGATCACTTGAGGTCAAGAATTTGAGACCAGCCTGGTCAGCATGGTAAAACCCCATCTCTACTAAAAATAAAAAAATTAGCCAGTTGTGGTGGCATGCACCAGCTATTCAGGAGACTGAGGCAGGAGAATTGCTTGATCCTAGGAGGCAGAGGTTACAGTGAGCCAAGATCACGCCACTGAACTCCAGCCTGGGGTGACAGAGAGACTCCCTTGGTGGGGATGGGGTG